CCCCTCATCTATTGCCCGTCTGAGGTCCGGGCAATCCCTCTTGATATGGTTCTCTCCTCTACAGTAGACACATGAGTTYCTGGGAGTAGATGGTCTGTCATCTGCGGTCCTAGAGATCGCGCTCCTGGGTGCCTTGGGGTCAGGCGACTTGGGATATGTTCCTGACGAGATGCTATATCCCCCTCTATCACTCCTACCGCGCGAATCGTTGTTGCGGCCTCCTCCTGATCTTCCTTGCTCGTACCGCCCTCGCGAATCATCTCAGCGGTTCCCCTAGTCATATCGCCCTTGCGACTCATCCCGTCGGTCTCCTCGGTTGTACCACCCTCGCGACTCGTCGCGCTGTCCTCTCACGTCTTTCCCGTGCTCAAATCGTCCGCGCGACCCATCTCGTCGTTCCCAGTCCCGATCTCCTCTCTCATACCTACCACCTCGGTAGCTATCTCGGGTCGACCTCTCGTATCTGACATCCCTATATCCATCTTGGTCCGATCTTTCGTATCTGTCGCCCCTGTATCCATCTCGTCGGTCCTGATCTGTCTCCCATCGGCCGCGGGAGTCGCTTCTTTCCCGTTCGGCCTCATAGCGAGGGCTTCGCGAGTAATCGTCCAGCCTCTTTGCACATACAAACGGGTCGCGATCTCTGCGGTCTCGGTCTATCTCATCATCCCTACGTCGCCATGGCTCATAGTCTCTCTCTCTTACCCTCATTCGATAATCAGTCAGCGTCCGAGGGTTTCTATCCTCGACGCTCCTCCAGGGATCGCTGTTCCTACGGTCCCAGCGAAGCGAATAGGGCCCTCCAGGTTTGTCCCGGTATGCCGTGACCCCTGTAGTGGATACAATCTCAGTAACCTGCCTCGTTAATCCCTTGACCATATCCCGTATCTCCTTCACTTCCACTGCCACGGCCTCATTCTTCTCCGACCAGGGATAGTCCTTGAAATCAGGACATCTATCMGTGGCATACTCCTTGTAGAGAGAGAAGTCACGTCTTCTCATCCCCCTCCACACCAAGTCCTTGTAATCATCTGCCTCTGCCTTTATCACGAGCTTTAGGACTTCAGGAAAATCAAGCCTGTCTCGAGGAAGATCTCTAAGTATACTTTTTTGCCTATCTTTAGACAAGTGTCCTATGAAGATAGTACAGCGCTCGACTTCGGAGATCTTCCCCTTCTTCATCAGCACGTCGGAGATCTTTTGGAAATGCATCCCAAATGCTCGCACGCTCTCATCTTCTTTTTGAGTTATTGTTTCTAGGTCTTTGATGGAATACTTGTTATCCTCTAATTTGTAAAGCTCCACGAGGTTCTTCTTGTAAGTAGCCCATCTTCCATCCTTCGGTCGAGCTCCTTTGACTTCCCTACCGAGACTTGGGTCTAYATTAAATAGGAAGTTCTCTATAATCTCTTCCTCTGACCACCGACTCCAGCAGGCGTGAAGCTCCCACTTCTCCAGATATTCCGTGATACCATAGCCCCTGAAGGTAGGAGGCTCCGAGACCTTGTGCGTGATAATATAGTGATCCTTGGTCTCGTAAGGAAGCGAATATGACTCCCCTGTCTGAGGATCGAAGACTCGCCTGGGCGGCGCCCTGTCTCTATCTCTGTCCCTCCAATAGGTATCCCTCAAACTCTCTCTCCAGTCGTCTGCGTGCCTGTCTGTCGTGGTGTCTCTCCTCTCGTACTCGGGGGAGCGTCTCCTCGTCACTTTTCGCCGTTCGTTCGAGGTGCCTGTCTTTAGAGCTCCTCGCGGCTCTGTCACAACCGGTTCGCCCCTTTCGCCGGGTCCTCCTTCATTGGTTTGGTCGGCCCATCTCAGCGGCGCTTCACGCTTAATTCGGTCTTTCAGATCTCTCAGGGCGCAATCGGGCGATGTCCTGTACTCCTCTCCTACTTCGCCCATGATCGGTTGTGGCCCCATCGTGTCGGGTTCCATCGGGCCCTCAGATGACACAGTCAGAAATCCTAGTCAAGTGCCTCGGTCCTGACCCTATGACAGCCGACGCAGCCCGGACCAATGATAGTCACGGCAGCCCGGACCTCTTTCTTTACCACTACCTACGTCTTTCTTTGTCACGACCTACGTCTACCTCCAGTCTTAGCTCTAGACTTCCTCATCTACCTCTTCCGGTAGTCCGTACCGGTCGCAGATCTCACGCTCTCCTCTAGCAGC